CTGAGCAATCCTGTGGGTAGCGGCGTTTATTTGTTATTTATCTCCGGACGGTCGCAAAGCCATTCCTGTAGTATAAATTGTACAAAGTAGCGTACAGAAAAACAAGTTTCGACTTCACCATCTCAGAGAATTAGCATTACGATCTCAGCGACCCGAGAAGTTCGAAAGCGCCGAACTTAGCGAATTATAACCGACCCTAGCTTTGCCAATAGGCCTGACTTGTCAAGTGAATTATCTCCGCCATCGATTCAATTAGCTCCGGTGAGCCTCACATAGCGAAATAAAATTAAACAAGTCTTTCTAGTGTTTCTTACTTCCGTGGGCCTGAACCTACACTCGGTTCCGTGGTTTGCGACTTTGTTTGCGACTTTCTGGAGATAAATACTCCGGAGCGTCCCTTAGTGTTTGTTTCAGGCATCAAGGTTTTTGTTTTATTTTTCTAGGTCTTCCTATGGACTACCCTACGGCGTCTTACTCCTCCTTTCCCCCTCGAACTATTAAATACCCTTCAGTTGTCTCTGACCACCTTCACCCATATCACGGGGTTTAGGTTTATTTCTTTTGGTCCTTGGCGATTGTTGTGTGTCTGTGCATATCAACGTCCCGGACCCTAACCATCCGGGGGGGAACCCCCGGACCCCCCTTTGAAGATAGCCTGTAACCCTCACCCTAACCGCATACCCTAACGCGAACCCTAACCAAACCCGGGGGTACCCCCCCGGACCCGCCTCTAACCCAAAACCTAACCGTCGGGTGGGGGGCGCAATGCTTGGTGCAAGGGCACTGTGGCAAGCACTCACCGGCACCCGGCGGGGGTGATCGGGATGGGCGGGAAATGTGGCACGACACAGTTCGAACTAGTGGAAGTCGGATACCAGGCCACCTAATGCCGAGTTCCACTTCCACTAGTTTGGTAATGCCTCTGATGAAATCTGCATAGCCTGAGGGTCTTTAAGGACAATTTCATCCAGCAACCCCCCTTGCTAGCATCAACCCCGGGTTGTTGCTTCAACCCCCCCAGATGAGCATTTGTGGAGGGGTTGTTTAGCTTCGTGACGGTCACATCCCGCTACTTTGTCAATCAGAGCCACATCTCAATCATGAATCTCATGATAATCTGCCCGCTCGTCGCTCGGAGCTATATAGCTGATACATGAAATGGTGCTGTGACTGTGCTTGTCACACGTACACCCGCCTCTGGGTCCTGAGGACTGGGAACCTCAGGTCCAGAAAAATCTGTACTTTGTTCTGAAGGCTACATACAGCTGCTGCTATCAACAGTGTTTCTGCAAGATCTCAATGTTCAACACCAGTCATGCCCATGCTGAGATGACAATACATATCACAACACACTGCACACTGCACTACTCCTGATTGTCTTCCCTGATAACACAGCACTACACGCTATGCTCTCAGGATGTTTTCAGCTCATTTGGTTTGTGGTACGTTCAGGTCGTCCCCAGTACAAACACATCTGTACTCATATACAGGAACAAGAGGTCATGCATTCGCTTAGCATGGCTACATTCTGATTGTTATTCAAGGGACTGTGGGGAGGGTCATGTGTGGCACAAACAAGTCTGAGGTTGCGGGCTTGTATATGGCGGTCACCACCACTTTCCATGACTGGGATTGAGGGTCAGTTCCAGGGATGAAGGGTCAGCAGACAATCATGTCGAAACAAGAAGGGGGAAGTGTAAGTGTTTCCGATCTTCATGTGCCCACTGAATGGCCTAATGCATAATAATAGCAACATCGCCAACCATTTTGCTCGTGCCGGTCAGGGTTGCAAGTCTGCTACCTTGGCATGCAAGCCTGGAGGATGTCTGAAACTGGGTGGGGCGTTGGGGAACACTGGGTATGTCATTTCCGTCTCGAGAGCCGCACCTGGGCTATTGCGAAAATAGCAGATGTCGCCAGCATCGTACGAGGTGCAAAGCATGAGCACATACAACTCCGTCGTCGCATCTGTTAGTAAATACCACCTCACAGCAATAAACATCAGTCTGCTGCAAGTCTCCTGCGTTTGATCTTCCTGCTCAACATATCTCTTGCTTCCTTTGAAGTGATGTCTGATTCGTCGTCCTGCGTTCTTTCACCTCCCCCGTCTCTAGTGTTTTCTAATGATTACTTGAAGAAACTAACTATATACATCACTCTGTCTGTCACAGTTCCAAGAGCTCTTCCCCTGTTCTCAATCATACACTGGTCTTTCAGTACAGACACTCCTTTGTCTTCTGGCCACAACACAGTCCTGCCAGATGACACGGTACCTTGTAATGAAGATCTCGCACCTATTCTGTGTGCCATGGAAGCTGTGTATGCCAAGGGCTTCCGGTTGGTCGTGATTGAAGCGGTTGGTGGTATGGGCATCGTTCTACCTGCGCAGGGTCTATCATTTTTGAAGGTGAGTCCTTGCTGACACTATAACATGCCACTGAGTGTTACCATCTCTAGGTGCAGTTGTACAAGATCATCAATAATCACCGTCCAGCTGTCATCTTTGAGAGTGCACTTTATTTGCACGTGCAGTCGAAGCAACTCCTTCCAGTCAGTGATCTCAAGGTGTTTGGACGGAGTACGATCTCCTCATCCATCAAGGGATTTCATGTTACGTCTTTCCCAGTCTGGAAGCTAGGATACCTCATCAACGAGAATTGTCTGGAAGATGACCTGGTCAACTCTCTCATGGAGTTGATGTACTTCGAACATCCAGTTCGCTCTGGTGATCCAATTCCACCTGTTATCATTCAACCCATATCATTCTTTGAAGATGCTCGATACCTGTATTCCCAGCTTCCACGCCTTTACAGCACGGAATTAATAGCTTTCCGTCAGCGAATGCATCTGACACATGTTGATACGCTCATTTTCCCTCTATGGACCAACAACCACTATTCTGCGTACTGCTATCAACCAACTGTTGGTCTTGTGTATAGTGACTCCCTTGGACTTGAGCCCCCGTCAGATGTACTCTGTGTCTTTGCGTGGCTTCTTGAGGGCCTTGGATACCCTATACCTCCCTGTGCTGTTCATGCTCCAATCCCTCTGCAGGGACCAGCAAGCGGGAGCTGTGGAGTTGCAGCAACAAGCTTCATTGAAACACAGATTAATCCCAATGCACCAGTATGGAGTGGTGGAAACTCCGAACTGCTGCGCGACAGGTTCTTGAAGAAACTCTTGGCATATCATCTGATTGCTACAGTCAAGGTAGCCCTCCTTTCTTGCATTCTGAAACCACAGGCTGATTGTGATGGTTCTCAACCTAGGACACATCATACAGTGACTGGGTGGAGCTTTGTCTTCCCTCCCCCAAAGATGGTACAGCAGAAGGGCTCAGTGAAGATGGTTTCTTTGGGTACAATGATTACAACCTACATCATCCCACTGTATGTTCTCTCTGCCGATATGAGTTTAACGTCATGACAGTTTCACTCATCGACTCGGCAGGTCCATCATCCTATCTGTGGCTATTTGGTACAGGCTGGCCCAACAGCATATGCCTCACCTTCTCCAGTGTGCATATTGGTTCCGGTCACAAGGCTTTTGTGTGGACCAATAGCAAGTGATCATAACCCTACCACTGTATCCCGGGTAGAGTCCAGCATGCAGCCGAGTGCTCACTCTGATTCCTCAGATCATGGGTACAAAACAGCCTTCTGTCCTGCTCCTGATATCGACTTAACTATTTCCGCACCTGCTTCTCCATTGCCAGTGAAGCCAGAGCCTGAGATTATCGCTATTCTCTCGTCTCCCTTTATCCCATCACGGGTGTTGTCAGGTTCTCCGCAGACACCTTCCTATGCAGCAGAATATTGCCCAGAGGTTATAAATCTCCTCTCATCCCTGTTGGTCGCATTAGGGCCCATGAAGTCCTTTGACTCGAAGACTGAGTCTCCTGTACCGAAGGCACCTCTTGATCTCTTTACATCACCCCATGCTTCTGAGGAATCAGCCTATGTTCCCAAGCGTGAACTGAGCGTTATTGACTTGGCCTCTCCAGCGACTGTTCGGAAACCTAGCAGTGGTCAGCGAAGGAAACATCGGTGGAGGAGTCCTAGCCCGTCCAATGGGGAGGACATCATCTCCATATGCTCTGATGATGATATATCAAAACAGCATTCTAAGAGGCCCTGAACCAGTTCAGAGCAGGAGCAACCCGCTGGTGCTAGACACCGTTCTCCACCCAGATACCCTGCTAATGCGGTTGAGCCTGTCACTGGGGTTGGCATTGGGATGGTCTTCAATACCCTTGACGATGGAATGGACACTGTCTTCAGACAAGAAGAGGCAAAGGGACATCACTGGGTCATTGGTCAAACCTACCGTAGATCCTCTGGTGAGCGGAAGAAGGTCACCACATTGTGGTGCAATCACTCACTGTGTTCCGGGCATGCGTATTTATGGTACAAACAGATGTGACCACATCCGGCCGGCCCATCTGTTTGGACCGCAACCACGTGGTCGACTGTAAGTGCAACAGTTACTTCCAGTTACTCGTAGTCGAACGCTCAGGTCATGTAGTATTAGAACTTAAAATACCTGTGCCTACTTAGTAGATGCTACACCTCAAATAGATGTGTCTGCAACCTGTACACTAATTTCCAGTACATGAGACTCCATGCTCTGCCCGATGTTCGAGTACCTGTGGCCAGTCCAGGCCGTGGATATAAATAATCGCGCAAAATGCTATTTTTATTCATTTTACATATCATTAATAAATATCAAATAGCATGGCATTATCTGTCAAAACGCGTACACGTGAGCGATGCGTATGCGTGTACGCAGTCCGGGAACCTGTCTCAATACTAATATCGACTGATAGGCAATGCATGTCTGCACAATTCTCGGGTTATGGATCCCGTCCGTCCTCTCTGGTACCCTCCCGATCAATGGGATCATCTGGCCAGAGATGAAATTGCTGTGCTGTCAAGAGTGCCTATACATGACTTCGGTAGAGATGGCCCTCGCAGAGATCCGTATCCGCTGCAGAACGTGGTCCAGCAAATTGTCGATCCTAACTTGCAGCAGTAAGTAATCAGTAGAGGCTCTCGCGATATGGATCTGACAATTCTCTAGACTCCCGGACAGCCAGCGAAAATGCGAAGAAGAAGAAGAAAAGGAAACACAAGAAGGCTGCCGGTGCAGACTTGGACAAAACAGAAACAGCCCACCAGCCGAAGAAACCAGCACTAGCAAGAGGAGCCGGGGAGCAAGTCAACCCGCATAGCCAGAATCAGAATAAAGGCCAGACGTGGATGCAAGCCCAGACGCCAATGCAAGGCCAGATGAAGATGCCAGGGCAGACACAGACACAAGACCAGTCACAGCGCAAAACCAGTCACAGATGCAAAACCAGTCCCAGATGCAAGACGAGTCGGCACGTTTCAATGGGAGGCAGGACATCACCGTAAGCAAGTGTCCTCAGGTCGTGAGGCACTCACCATCCGTCCCTCCGAGAGCCCACTTCGCTTCCCTTCCTCGCCGACATCCTCCGAGCATCTGAAAGGGTATTTGTACATTAGCTGCATATAGTCATCATTTATTCATCAGTTACCTTCTTTGTAGATCTGCGACACCCCTCCATTGGACTCCCCCACTGCCGCAGCATGCATTCAGCCACCGCCAGCAAGTCGAGTGCCCTCTATTCGGAAACGCGGATGATCAAGCACCAAGTGAAGAAGAGAACACGACACTTACCCGGACCCTTGTCGACAATGTGAAGAGACATAATACCACGCTGGAGGCGGAATGCACCGCAATGCGTGAGCGACAAACTAACCTAGAGACGACGATTCAAAGTATGTGAAGTTAAGTTACTGAACACCAGATACAAACCTCCAATCAAGCTGTCGTGCCCAGCAAAGCCTCCAGGACGCTGATAGGCACTAACACACGACAACACCAAAGACCAAAAAGAAATAAAACCTAAAACACCCAGCGGTATGGGTGTAGGCGGTCTAAGGCGATTGAAGGGTAATATTTAAGTTTGAAGGGAGGGGGAGAAGTTAGACGCCGTAGGGTAGCCCATAGGAAAACCTAAAACAAACAAAATCTTGAGGCCTGAAACAAACAGTATAGCGATTCTCCGGAGTATTTATCTCCGAAGTTCGCCAGTAGCCCGGGTGGGGAGTTCCACTGAACCCAAACAATAGTCTCGTGCCTACAGACGCTTGGTGAATTTTATACTTTAAATCCGGAGCTTACTTGGATCGATATGCGATGGCGGAGTTATCTAGTTTTGACGAGTCAGGCCTATTGGCAAAGCTAGGATTGATTGTAGACGCTAAGTCCGACGCGAAGGGACTCCGAGGGTCGCTGAGACGATAATTCTGGTACGCTGAGAGGGTGAAGTACAAAACTTGGATTTTCCACTACGCTCCATACATTTTTATGCTATTGGAATGGTTTTGCGTCCGCCCGGAGTTAAATAACAAATATGCTCCGCATCCCACACAATTACTCAGCCTTTGCCCACCGCTATACCATGTCCCATACGATCCTGCCGTGTTTCCACGTGCTCGTCCTAGGTCCTAGAGGTAGCCTCGACGCGTCAATGCTCGCTTGAAGTGCCTCATCACGCGGTACTGCAGGCTGATCACGTGCGGATTAGCTCCGGCCGCTTGCTGACTGATACGTTCCGTCCGGCCGTCGATTTACGTCCGCTGACTCGGTCGCTTTGACGGAAACGAAGGGGAGTGATGACTGGGGAGTGGTAATACCAATGACTCACTGCGACGCGGGCCTCCGCCGTTCCCGGAG